TAAATAGATTTGAATATAGTCTAGCAGGGTGAGTTAAATGTTTCCTTTTAATAAGAGGAAGACTACGTTCATCAATTGCACTCTAGTCAATTTACCAACCCTTTGTCTGTCTCTATTTAGCATCTCGGTGAGTGTGACTAGAATCCTGGAGGCTATTCAACATCGTCTGATATTGGGTGATCATGATGAGAAAGGAGTTTGCACTTGGTGATTTGGAATGTTCTTTAAGGCCCATTTTCAGAGTGGTGGCCTAGAGATCTGATCAACGGTTAAATTCAAGGAAAAGCTCTGTAGGATGCGTAGCTATGGATGTTCATGAGGGAGTGGGATAGGTTGTGGTGGAGAGTGGTCAAAGCTGAGTTGAAACAGAAAATACGGGCTGGTATTCAAGAAGCTCAGGAAGTCCATATGGTGTTGGGATATGGAGGAAAACTGGCTTGAGAAGGTAGGATTTTCATGGATGCATCTGTTCGAATGTTGGATCAGGTTAAAAGGTGAATGTCTGTGGTTGAATTAATGAAGCAAAGGCGGAACAATTAACTGATGTTTTCTCATGATTTATTCTTCAGCTTGTAATAAAGAGGCAACAGTAGCAAAATCTTTTTCCAACTCCATGGGTAATGCTGTTTGGACAGTGAATCTGGATAATCTATTTTGCATTTTTATGATTTTTAAAATTTATAAATCAATTTTTTATCAATTGAATGAATAAATTTTTTTACAAATCATAATTTCATCACGACATCCAATAATTTGAAATGAAAAGTTTTATGGTATTTTTACATAACTTTGTATTAATTGTTAGAGATTTTCGTTGTTAATTTGCATTAAAATATGTCAAACTAATTAGGTATTGGGTTGAACATATTACATAAACAAGTTTTGATTCTATCTCAATTCGTACTTTTAGAAAAATGAAAAATGCTTTCTAAAATTTTAAAATTAGAGTAGTACATTAAAAATGATACATAATTCTTATAGAATATCTGCAAAAAGGAATATCTATTGCTGGAAGGTCCGTAAACATATCAATTTATTCTAGTGTTTCTCGTAATGTGCGAGACCAACTGAGGCCGTAGATAAGTCAATCTGGAAGCTCAGTTCAAAAGGAACCTTTTTGCTATAATCTCTTTTGAAATAAAAAGTATAAGATGCATAAAAATTAGCACCAAAGGGATGCAACCCATTTACAAAAATATTTACAGTTTAGGCAGTCTATCTATCACAAATGCGAAGTCCTTCACTCTATACATATCATGTTCTAACAATAAAGAGCCAAAATAATGAAACTATCTGTCCCTAATATTAAATATATCATTTTCAATCCCATCAAAATTCCTTCTATTTCTCTCGCTCCAAATAACCCAAAAGATAATCAAAGGAATTAATTTAATACGTTTTTTTCTTTTTACAATACCTTCTCACGTCCAAATCTCATGCCTTACTGAGCCTGCCATAACCAAACTTATTACCCCAAGCAGGCCATAAATCATTGCCCATATATTATAAACTAGCAGGACACCACAAAAGGAGATGTTTGCAAGTTTCAGCCTCTTGCTTGCACATGTAGCACCAATTCACCATCACTCTTCCTCTTCTCATCAAGTTGTCAGTTGTCAAGATGTATTCTCTGCTAGCCTCCCATGCAAAAAAGACAATTTTTGGCAGAGTCTGAACCTTCCAAATCTATTTGGCTAGAAAGTAATCTGTCCTTAATCTCCCATACCCATCAGGTACTCATAAAAGGATTTAACAGAAATCTCGCCATTTTTCTTTGGTTTCCAGACTATTTGATCCCTCTCTGTTGTCACATGCACATCTGAGAGCAAATGAAGAATATCTTCGTACTTGCCTACCACCCAGTCATTGAGATTCCTAACCACATTAACACTTCAACCCTCATCCAACCTCCAGCTGCCATAGGCTGCCTCCACAGAGATACCGTTTTGCTAAAATCTTATCAGTTTTGTTTGGCAAAGAGTGACAGAACTGATAAAAATTTTCCGTAGAAACTGTTTAAAAGATAAATGCTTTACCCAGAGTGGCTTTTTTTCTTTGGTTTTCAGACAATTTGATCCCTCTCTGTTGTTACATGCACATCAGAGAGCAAATGAAGAAGATCTTCATACTTGCCTACATCCCAATCATTGAGATTCCTAACCACATTAACACTCCAACCCCCATCCAACCTCCAGCTGCCATAAGCCGCCTCCACAGAGATTCCTTTTTGCTAAAATCTTATCAGTTTTGTTTGGCAAAGAGAGACAGAACTGATAAAATTTTTCTGTAGAATCTGTTTAAAAGATCAATGCTTTACCTAGAGTAGCTTTTTTTTCCCTAAGAAGTGGCAGGGTGTTGTAGTTTAACAATAAACAATCTATTGAAGGGGGAAAGGTCATTATAAATGGGTGCTACTTGTTCAAGAGAGCTGCCAAATCTGGCAACCGTCTTCTTTTCTGGTGTCATTTTTCTTATCAACTTTGATTTATGGTCTAGAGTCTTCTTAGGATAAAGTGGGCAATTGTTGGATAGGTAAAAGAGGATATTTAGGAATGAGGAGGCACCCATAGGGATAAGAGCTACAACAAGAATTTATGCCTTATCTGTTTGGATTAGGGGTAATTTGGAAGGAAAAAAAATAGAAGGACCCTTATAGGACATTAAATTTTCTTTTGATATAATTAAAGATATCTGGAAAAGAGGAGTGCCTATGACAAACAGATGTTCCTTATGTAAAAATAGTCTGGAAACCTGCAGACACCTATTATTATGGTGTCCTGTCACTTATAAGCTTTGGTCTGAGATTTTTAGTCTCATGGGCATCCATGGGTTATGGCTGGTTCAGAAAAAGGTGAACTTCTTGCATGGGAGGGGCTTAGATTGAGAAACCAGACGAATTCCACTAACCATTTTCTGGATTGTTTGGAAAGAAAGAAATAACATTGTTTTTGAGGGTATTGAGTTAGATTTTGTCACTATCAAGGATAGATGGTTACATTTGTTTGAATATATTATTTTAGGTCACAGCCTTGATAACTTGGAGGACTTTGGTTCTATTGTAAATATACTTGTTGATCTATAAGTTCTTTATCTTTTTGTACATGGGCGGCGCCCCTTTAGCACCTCTTCTTTAATACAATTCATACTCTTATCTTGAAAGAAAAAAAAGATATCTGATATTAGATACCAGAGTTCTTTTAGTTAAGAGACATTTTTTACATATACGAGGATTTAAGTGATCTGATTGACTTTGACAGATTTGTTAAGCTTTTATATACAGCTTGCATCCTTTTGGTGCATTTTTATTATAATTTATCTTTTTTTTAAAATATAATGTGCTTCTATAAATCTTTCTCATGTAGGACGTATTAACCTCTAGGCTTTGTTTGGTGGAGGGGGATGGGATGCCAAGTAATAGACTAGAACAGATAAAATGGAAGGAGATGAAATGAACTGTAAAGTAATAATATTGTTTGGGTACCATGAAAATGAATGTAAGTATCTTAGGCTGTTTGGATAGGATGTGGAAATGGATGGAATGGAAAAGTATTAACATTACCCTTATTCTTTATAAACATAATGACATGATAATGTGTCCCTTATCGTATCATGTTTACATATGATTCAAATTATTATACGCTTTAAAAATATTATAAATTTATGTAATCGTGATATGCTAAATATTTTTGCAATATTTACATATAACATTCTAAATGATATAAATACTTTGTACACGTGTTGACACCCTCTTGGTGCTGGTTATCAATGATATATTTTGTACTTTTTATTTCAAAAAGATTTTTAAATTATATATATTAAATTTTGATAAATTTAACAATTTATCCATCTTCTAAATATTCATAATTCCCATAGTCCCTTCCTTTTAGTCACTTTGTTACTTGAAATGAAAGCAAGCAAAAAAGCTAATTCAACATATTTATAAGCTAGTTCGATGCAGAAAGCTTTAGAGGTGTTTGTTTTAGCATTTTTCGGATTTGGCTTGTAAGGAGAATTAAAGCTTAAAAGTTCGACTTATGTTTTTTTGGTTATATAATAAAGCCTATTTAATTTTATGCTTTTTGCCAAAATGCTTTTATTAAAATTGCTAAAACTTTTTATGTCATTTTAGAAATTTTATCGACATTCCAACTTTTAAGCACTCTTTTACCAAACACAATTATGAAAAAAATTACTATTCAAATATATTTCTCATTAGTTTTTAACAACTTATGATCTCTTATGCTTTAAACCTATAAAAAGAGCCAATGAGACAACTTTTTAGTCCCTGTTTGGCCAAGCTTCAACTTGATGCTGATCACAAAGTTCCTAAATTGAGAATATTTTGAAAGTAAAAAGGTATTTATGTAATTGTAATGCTTATGTCTTATTAAGGTATTTAGATAATTTAGGAACTAGTACCATAGATACCAAGTTTGCTATTTCTTAATTAGGATCGTATTTCATATCTTCTACTATAGGTTATTCCAGTAAGCTTACTATTTTCGTATTTCCTGGAATTCCTAAATAGACTTAAGAATTCCAATTTGGATTTTAATTTGGTGCCTGTGAGTAAAGTATCATGTCAGTTAGTCACTTTTGGAGTTAATTAGCGTGTAGGTGATGTTCGTGTAGAAGTGCCATTTTATATGCGTGACTATGACTTATACCATCTTGGTACCTTGTCAATAATTTCTTTTTCTTTTTCGACGGAGAAGAAAAAGAAGAATCTTCAAAGTTATGTAAGCTGCTCCTTGAGTTTTAGCTTTTCCCATATAATTTCCTTTTGAATAGTATTTCAATTATCTCTTCTCAGATTATGTGAAATTGTGGATAGTCACATAGCTTCCCACAGCATCTTGTCGTATTCAGCTCGATTTTCATTAAATTTTTCTTCTATGTATAACAAGATTGGTTAACTATATGATAAATCATCTGACAGTGGCAGGCATGCTTCGTCTGGATTTTTCTCAACTCTAAATACTTGAATTCTGATGTAACAGGCTCGACTCCCTGAAGCACGTGTTATTTATTGTTCTGCAACTGGTGCTTCTGAACCAAGAAATATGGGTTATATGGTCAGGCTTGGTCTTTGGGGAGCTGGAACATGCTTCACTGATTTTCAGAAATTTCTAGGTGTGGTTTCCATTTTCCCCAACTTCTCTTCCTTTGCATTTAATATCTATCTACCTTATGTCATTACTTTGTAATTGAGTTTGTGAATCTTCATTTTTAAGTATAGAATAAGTAGGATGGTTTAGTTGATTAACCTCCCTTGACTACTGAAGATGAGGTGAATTATTTTTTCCATTACGAATAAGTTTCTGTTGCTGATTTCTTCTTTGGCGTTCTGCTAGTGCTTTAAGTGTAGAGGCAGTAGGGTAGTTTAGTTGATTAACTTCCTTTGACTACTGAAGGCAGATGATTATTTTCTCCATTACTAATAAGTTTCTGTCGCAGATTTCATCTTTGGCATTCTGCTAATGCTTTGTTTAGATACTATAACTTGCGTCATTAAAATCTGATTCAAGTTCTTGATCATTTTTTGTTTCTATTTGGGTGATTTAGACAGTTCAAGAACCTTAACTGTTATTTTTCTTCTTGACCACGTATGATTAAAATTTTTAACTAGAAGATAATTTTTCAGGGCATTTCTGAGTAGTAAATTGAAATTGGGTGGAAACTATCTCTGAGGAAAAGCTTATTTCTATTACACTGTGTTTGGTCTAATTCTCATTCACTTCTTAGTTTAATTTCACTTTTTTAATAAGCATTATTAGAACATAACTTTTGTGTTTGAGATACCACTATCCTCCACTCGCATTTTTTGACGATAAGATGTCACAAACTATGGTGAGTATGGTGGATGGAAAGGAAATAGAGGGAAAAGGAGTTCTTTGTCTTTGTGCAGTATTTAGGTTGATCTTTCTATAGGAGCTTGTAGATTGGGCATTTTGCTTGGAGAAGATAACACTTTGAGTTAGTTTTGTTCAATATGGTGGCTATAGGGAGTTTTGCTTATCGGAGTTCTAGATGCTAGTCCTGCATTTTTGATTTGGTCTATGATCTGGAAACTTCCTTTACATAAATGGGAGATGACATTTTAAGGCCTTTGTGAGGCATGGTGCTTTTATCTTTAGTGTGCAACTTTTCTCGTGCAACCTGGATTTGCTCTTATTAGTTAGTCTGTGCGGCAAAGAGACAGTTGGCAAGGGAAATGCCATAATAAATCATTATTGTTGAAAGATTAGAGTTCAAACTAATTAAATTAATTTAGCTAGATTTATGAAGAGTATAGAGTTAATTTTTCTGCTTATATATAGATAGTATATATTAAAAAGTGATTATCTTGTTTTCTAACAGAAAGAAGATACGATTGAAAGTATACAGCATTAAAATAAATTTATTTACTTTCACATTTTATTTAATTCAAATAAAATGTGAAAGTAAATAAATTTATTTTCTTTTGTTGTACAGAATTGACTTCTTACCTTTTTCTGTATTGGAATGACTGGACATTTGGTTCATTGTGTAAGGTAAGAATATGTGACGAATGTAATAGGTACTACATGATAAAGATTTATTATTTTGTTTGGTTTGTTGAGTTATGATTATCTTGTAAGTGTGTTACTGCAGAAGTTGTAATTTTGATTCATTTCTTTTGAAGGGGATCATGAATCAGAATTACATTTACAGATGTATCTGTAAGGAGCAATTTTATTTTGAAGGCTATTGTATCTTACTTATCAAGATGAGTTTAATTAATTGATTAATTTTTTTTTTGTATTTGAATATATTTGAAAATTTATGGTTATCATATGATTTAATATTTGAAAGTTTTTTTTTTAATTAAATAAAGAATTTCTTAATCTTTTAAATTTAGGAACGAAGAAGAAGTTATAAATTAATTTCAACAATAAGGAGATTTATAATTGCTGAAACTAAAATAGTAATAAAAAATATAATATAATATGTATAATTTGATTAATTAAATTGATTATATAAAATTTTGTCAGTTTTTTAAACTTATGTTTTAGGGCGTGATATAAATAGGGTGATTGATTTTGAGAGTTTTAGAGAATACTTACTGACTTCTAAATATTTTTGTTCGTAGGTGGCATCCATTTGGTGCCAATGTGTTAATATACATTTTATATATTTTATTTAAAAAAGGGAATTATGTAATATTATATACATTTGATAATATGTACATTTAATACATATTTTTAAACAAATCCAATAAGTAGAGTTATGATAACTATTTGTGTATTATTACAATTTCCTTTCAGCTTTTGGTACTGTTGGAATAAAATATTATAATGAGGTTGTAATGAGTAGTAATTGCGAACTGAAGAAT